GAAGAACAGGAGTACTTGTGGCACCTTAGAGACTAGTTAGTCTCTAAGGTGCCACAAGTACTCCTGTTCTTCTTTTTGCGGATACAGACTAACACGGCTGCTACTCTGAAACCTGTCAAAGAAGCATCAGTTATGTTTTGTTTAATCCAACTTAAACAATTACTTGATGTTTCTCATTTAGTGTAATAAAATATGCCATCAACAGGCCATATTTTGGCTTTGGATACACTATTTCCATTGAAATCAGTGGGAGCCCTGCTTAAACATTTGAGGCTAGAATATGGCCTAATATCTGAAAAGAGCAAAATATCTCTATTATTCAAGCCCTCTATGTCAGAATTCCCCTTTGAATTCAGTAGGATTTCAGCATGCAGGTTTGCAGAACCAGGTTGAATATTACAGTTAGCAGGTTCTAAAATTTAGCTTATTTTCCATATATTTACAAAGTTCAAATGCTCTTAAAAATATATTACTCCTCCTGCCACAACCCTACTTCCTCCTCCCCAAAACTGAACTCAACAACACTGTTTTAATTCTCCTTATAAAAAATATCTCAGGACCTCATGACATCCCAGTCATCTTAGTAGAGATCTGGGGGAATAAATATTTTTAGTAAGAAATAATATTTTTAGTTTCTCATTAGAAGACAGAGAATAATTGAGAAACTATGGTTACAATTATGAGAAATACCTCAACAAGAGAAGTGTGGAAGCTTGAAAATTAACCCTTTATGGATACAGGAAAACATGCATCTCCCAAAGAAATTTGTCGTATTGAATTCCCAGTCAAAGGAATACCCTGATAGCAGAGGGGTTAGACTTAGCAAATTTCAGGCCTGATAATGGGAGTTGCAGGTGCTCAGCACCTCTCAGATCAAACTCTTCAGTTGACACTGTAAGATTGTTAGTGATAATGCACATATATAATAGCACTTTGAAAATATGAAGCTCTGTAACAACATTAATTATGCTAATAACAGCCCAGTAAAGTAGTTATTCTTATATCTATTGTAATGATGGGGAAATTAAGGCAGAGAGATTAAATGACTCAAATGAGGTCATGTTGGCCCAGATCCTCAAAGTTATTTAAGTGCCCAACTCCCTTTTAAATCCATGGGAGTTGGGCACCTAAATACCTTTGAGGATCTGGGTGATAGTCACTAAATTAGGATTAGAACACAGGAGCTTCTAGCTCTCGAGCTCATACTTACTCCTCTGCAAAATGCAGTCTCATTTTCTATACTGGCTCACTTTGAAATACAATTGCTTTCTTTAGCACATGACTTACTTGATTTACAGAGAAGGCAGCACTGTTGCTCAGAGTGACCAAGGCTTGTTCTTGAATTAACGGATCATCTGTGAGCTCAAGCAAATGAATAAGTTTCTGTAGATGATGGGCATCCAGGTTACTGGGTGATTTTGGAAGATCAGTGTCTGCCAAGGTTTAAAAATTAAAACAAATTATTTCAAATCAACTTTGAAACATTTCACTGAACCAACACACATAACACTTTTTACAGAGCTGTGTTATAGCCACATACTTATGGATAGCATGTCAGTTGTAGGCCACATAATCCTAGGATTCACTGATCCACTATGATATTATGGCAGAGTCACTGCAATACCAGTTAAGGCTGGGTTCTATTTTGCATTTAAAGCAGGATTTCAATATATATATATTTTAAAAGATTGCATCTGCCCCAATTTTTCAGCTTGTAATCTGAGTAAAGCCTGATTTTTTTTTGAGGATTTTCAAGTAAATCTGTTAGTTTCTGATTTCTAGTCAGTTAAAAAAATCTTTTAAAAAAATTAACTTTCTGAGTTGCAGGACTTTGAGCCCCTCTAGTTTCAAAACTTCAAAGTGTAGAAAGTAAAAAAAATTGTGAGAGCGTGGCTATGTAATTATTTTGCTAATTCACAAAGAAATAATTCTATTAATTATTCACCATAACTGGATCCTTATTCATTGCAATTATCCAATGGAGATTTTTTTTTTTAATGTCTGCTACGTCCATTTCTGACATGGAATGCGGCAACTTTTTTGGACAATTTAGGAGAAGAGTAGAAATTTTGACGTATATCTCCAGTAATATTCCTCCCAGAATTGGGGGCTAACCTGGTGAATGAAGAAAATGCTAGTCCCGGGGCATCTGATCTGAACTGATGATCTTTGATAAAGAAACAGTTGCTGTGTTAAGGTTACTGTTCTTCATGAAGACACTGAGCCAACTGAAGAGCTCTGCTTCTAAGTCAGCTAAACACAAGAGTGTCATACAGTACCTGGTCTTCAGGAAAGCAAACACTACTAATGTCAAAGTTCATGATCAGCCAGATCAGGAATGAAGCTCTTGAACTGGCTAAACGGTTTTATGAAGACCAGGATCTGTGATAAAGAAAGGGGTACTGTAATAAATACTAAGATTTTGTGAAACTGACCAGCTCGCTCAGAAGAGATTCTTGAAGAGATTCTCTCTTGATTTATTAACATTATACCTCATTAATGAGTCCTTATGAGCAATAGTTAGCCATTGAATATGACAAAGGTTGTTTTTTTTTAAAAGGTCTTGGACAACTCTAAAATTTCCAAACTTAAGTGCCTGAAGTTAGGCATCTAACTCCAGATATAGGTCCTGATCATGCAATGAGATCTCCATGGAGGATTCCTGTGCATTTGTGGACCTCCATTGACTTGAATGGCTCCACACAAGGGCAGGTATCTGCCTAAGTAGATTCAGTAGCAGAATCAGGGCTTTAGCCACTTTAAGAAAGAAAAAAAAAGACACTGATTTTCAGTATTGAGTAACTACAGATCCTACTGACTTTTGCCAGACTGGTGGCAGTGTAAACTGAAAGTCATGCATAAAAAAAGATTTCACAACAAATACTGCCTTGTTGCACCCTCACTAGGTTGCAATTATTCTGAACCCTATTTTCCTAAATTTTTACCAATATCAATTATGCTATCTGTAAATAGTGGCTCATCAGCATCAAACTACAAAAATGGCAAGATAGTTTAGTATTTCAATTGAGACGGTGACCAAAGTGTAACCTGAAATTCTTATGAAAAACAGAGCTCAGGAAACAACCACTGCAATCCTATTGGACAGAAGCTGGACAAATCTAGACTCACATTAGAAATGGCAAAACATTTTCTACAGGTGTCCAATGCAGTCCCAGTCTGTTTCTTTCATCATTATCAATACTTTAAAGACTGTTATCAGACTGTGAAGATCCAAAAGTTGGTTAACTTCTTTATATTATTGGTTGCAAAATGCATTCTTCCGCTCCCTCATAAAAAATGCTTCAACGTTCTTCCATTTGAAACAAAAGTTGAAGATTATGACATCCAAAAGCTAGCCTGCAAAAAATTTTCCTTACTATACCCATCTGTGCTTTTATCAGTTACGGGGCTACATAAATCATTAACAATGGAACAGTGGGCAAGCAAGATACCCAATAAAGCACTTTCAAAAAGGCAACTGATAAGATTCATGATTTCAAGGGAGTCTAGTCAGCTTTTAAAAATATAGTACATCAATAAGAGTCGTTTTGAAGTTTCAATCCATTAGGGCCAGATTTATAAAGGTATTTAGGTGCCTAAAGTTTCAGATAGTAAATCCAGATCTAATCAAACTGACCTATTCAAATAGTCTGAAGAAGACTATGATCTGTAAAAATAAATGCTACTTGGGTGAAAAAGAGATGTAGAGCAGGGCTGGATCCCTAACAGAGACTTCACTGGCTGCATTACTGTCAGGATACTAGGAAATGCTAACATACAATAACCCCAAAGAGTAAAAAAATAACCCCCCTTTCCTACCCACACAACTCTCCCCTCTCTTCTGTCACGCCATCTTTGGAGGGTCACATCACCTAATGCGTCAGGCAGTGTTGCTACAAAGCCTAGTTTTATCGGCGATACAAATGTTTACATACTCTCCGGTGTGTGTGAATAACAAACTGTGTTTTGGAGAAAGCCCCTGCTAGTGGGCGGGAGGTCGGAGGTGCACCGCCCAGTCTGCCGGTCTAAGCCCCGCTGCAGCTCACCTGACTGGAGGTTGGAGGGTCCCCCCCAGGCAAGGCTGGACAGGACAGAAAGCCCGGACACCCGAGGCAGCAAACTGCCCCCTGGGGCTGACCCATCCCTAGCGCTAGCGGCTCCTTTTGTCCCGGCTGCGGCTCCCGCCCTCCTGCTCCTGGCCAGCCTGTAAACACAATAGCACGCGCCAGCGCCCAGCACGAGCCCCGCCGCCACCCCAGCTCTCGCCGCCGCCCCCCTGGCCTCCCCCATGGCCTTCTGGTGCTCGTCCCCTGGGAGCACTAGGGCAATGCCAGGCTGAGGCGGGCCCAAGCGCCCGTTTCACAGCCGCGGGACGCGCCCCAGCTCAGCTCAGCCCAGCCCGGCCCGGCCCGGCGGAAACGGGACACTTCGTTCCCCCTCCCCTCTGACCTCTGCCTCCCTACGCTGACGTGCTGCTCCACCGCCCCTCCCCCAGCTCGCACAGCGCAGGCGGGGCCAGCCAGGCGCTGTAGCAATCTGCGCACACCCGGGGGGTTTGTGGGGTCCCTCCCCGCCAGCGCTCGTGGCGGAGAGCGGTGTCGGGGCGCTGGGGCTTCCCGTGGGGCCCCCGCAGGAGCGCCTGGCGGGCGCGCGGAGGGGGCCGATGCCTCTTTGCTAATCCGCCACTGTCCACACCCAAAACCTTCCTCTCTACTGCACACCCCAAGTGATGGTCCGCCACTCCCCAGCCTAATAAGCACATCAGGAGAAGTACCTCAGATGTGGACATGATCCATTATATTTAAATGCTAACAAAAATGTGGGCATGATTGGAAACTAAAACCAGCCACCCAAAAATCTCATGAGGGCATCTGATTTGATTTAATTTCAAGCCTCGTCATGTGCAGTCCCCCTCCCCCATCACAGATTATAAACTCTTTGGGGCATGGACATTCTTTTTATTCTGTTTACACAGCACAATGGGATCCTGATCAGTGACTGGGGCTCCTACGTGCTACCACAATACAAATAACATTTTCAAGGTAGCTCTTACTTAAAAACTCCAACAATAATAATCTCCACAAAAGAAGAGGGTGGGAGATTATCTCCAAATGGGAGAGACATTCCAATCAGTTATAAGAGAGAAAAATGGTAGTAACAGCTCCACTATCACCTCTTCATTTTTCACTCAGCCCTTCTTCAAAACATGAAAACTAGCTGAAGCTAAGCAGATTCTGTTACAGGTTTTTAAAGTTTATGAACAAAACTACTACTACTACTATAACAACAACAAGGAGTCTGGTGGCACCTTAAAGACTAACAGATTTATTTGTTAGTCTTTAAGGTGCCACCAGACTCCTTGTTGTTTTTGTAGATACAGACTAACACGGCTACCCCCTGATACTACTACTATATACACCTCTACCCTGATAGAATGCAACCCGATATAACATGAATCCAGATATAATGCAGTAAAGCAGTGCTCCGGGGGGGCGGGGCTGCCCGCTCTGGCGGATCAAAGCAAGTTCGATATAATGCGATTTCACCTATAACGCAGTAAGATTTTTTGGCTCCCGAGGACAGCGTTATATCGAGGTAGTAGTAATAACCAGCTCCTGAACAGCAATTTTTGACAGATCTCAAAGCACTTTACAAAGGAGGGCAGCATCATTATCCACATTTTATAGATGGGGAAATGGGACTTGTCGTAGGTCACCCAGGAGCCAAACTGGGACTAGAATACTAATTTTCTGAGTCTCAATCCTATGCTGGATCCAGTAGGCCACATTAACACCTTCTGGCTAAGAATCCCCTAGTACTTCACAAATATTAATTAATCTGCACTATAATCTTGTGAGCTAGGTCAGAGGTTCTCAAACTGTGGTCCGTGAGCTCCATTCAGGTGGTCTGCGGATAGTTACCTCAAAAGTGCGTGCTTGGGTGGCTGCACACAAGAGAATGAAGGGCCACCCACCTAATTAGTGGAGCCGCGCAGGCGTGGCTCCACTAATTAGGTGCCTGGACCCTGGAGAAGACGCACATGTAAGGTGAGGTGGTGACCTTGGAGGGAATAGGGGGTAGATGGGAGGGGGAAGTGGGATGAGAAGAGGGGGTGGAGGGAATTTGGGATGTGCAGGGATGAGAAAAAGGCGACTTTCCTCAGCTCCAGGGCAACGGCTGCTATGGAGAGACGGCCCTCCTTCCCAGCCTCAGCTCTGTGGCTGCTGTGTCGGGGGAGAGACCCTCCTCCTTCCCAGCCCCAGATCAGGGGCTGCCACAGCAGGGGAGAGAAGAAGAGCCCCCCACCTTCTTCCCAGCCCCAGCTTGGGGGCTGCCGCGGCCAGGGACAGAGGGCACATCCATCTCATTAGAAAGATAAGACTACTGATATTAAAATATGAGTTGTGTGCTTTTATTTGTAGAACAAAAACAGTTAATTATTATTAAGTTTTTTTTATTTAGCACTTTTATCCAAAGCACTTTACGATAGTTAGCTAATGGGACAAACAACATTTGGAAAGATCATTAAGTGGTCCGACGAGACCCTCTGCAATTTTCAAGTGGTCCACGAAAGAAAAAAGTTTGAGAGCCACTGATCTAGTCAGTTACAAAATAAGAGTTTAGATCCTGTTTCTATTTTTGGGGTGGTTTTTTTTATGGTGTTTGCACTGAAAAAAATGCAACTTTAACAAACCGTGGTCATAGCTTTTGAACTAAAAAATCACAACTTTTTTACAGCCATAGTAATTAATTAATAAGTAAAGATAAGTTGAAATCAGAGGCAAGGCAAGGATGTGGGCAACAGTTACACATACACCTAATGTAATTTTATGAGTATTTTTATTAAAACTCTGTCCATAGCTTTTCAAAAAATGGTTAGACATGTCTGCTTTCAGAACATTTAAAACCATCAGCTCTGAAGGCAGTGCAGAAGTAAGGGTGGCAATACCGCGATCCCCATTGCATCTTCCTTTTGGGTCAGAATCTCTAATTTGAGAAACGCTGGTCTCCCCCCGTGAAATCTGGTGTTTGTGTGCATTTACCCTATATTATACAGATTTCACGGGGGGAAGACCAGATTTCAAGGTCCATGATGCCTTTTTCATTGCCGAGAATTTGGTAGGGCCCTAGCAATGTGGTCTGGATGAGGAATTCAGTGGTGCGTAGCAATGATCTGTATGGATGGGGACTGTATGGAGGCTCATGGGTAAGGCTGCGAATCATTCACGGAAGTCACGGCTTCCGTGACTTTCCATTACCTCAATGAATTTTACAGAGCTGGTGCAGCTGACTCCAGGACCACCCCAGCAGCTGGTCCCCAGGGCTGCCCTGGAGCAGCGGTCTGGGACTGGCGGTGGCAGCAGCGGCGGGGCCCTGGGCCCCCCCCAGCCCGGAGCAGCGGGGCCTGAGGCTTCCTTGCTCAGACTGGCGGTGGTGGCAGTCTTCCGTCTTTATCTCCCAGCAGATAAGATTTAGTTACAGGTATTTTTAGTAAAAGCCATGGACAGGTCATGTGGCCATGACTTTTTGTTTATTGCCCGTGACCCGTCCATGACTTTTACTAAAAATACCCGTGACTAAAACATAGTCTTACTCATGGGGGAAGTAGGGACAGATGAGGAATGATGGGGCTCAACTGGGGGGTAGTGATGGAAGTATGGATAGGAGCTTGGCTTGTTTAGGAAGTATGAATTGTGCCTGAGTGGTGAGGTGGGGGGCTCAGTGTAGGTGCAAGACTGGGTGTATGAATGGTATCTGGGAGGGTCTGAGTGGGGGGCTTAGTGTGGTGTGGGGTTGGGGATATAGATGGGAGTAGGGATGGAAGTGTGAGTGGTGGGTGTGTGTAGTGCAAAGCTGGGTGTATGAATGGAGTTGTAATGGGGAAAATTTGAGGAGCTAGTATGGACAGGGGGCATGAAATAAGTTAGAATGGGCTATGAATTTAGGGCCTGGTGTGGGGGGAGGGCAGGTGCTATGAATGGAGTTGGGATGGGGATGAGTTGGGTTTGGGGCAGAAGATATAGAGTTGGGATGGGTGAGTGGGGGCTCGGAGCAGCAGGCATGAGTGGAATTGGGCTGGGTGAATGGGGTGCTGGACAGGGCAGTTCAGAGTTGGGATGGGCTGAGTGGGAGTTGGGGTGAGGTGGTGCAGGTCATGGGCTATAGCGTCGGGATGGGATGGGTAGGGGCAGGGCAAGAACGGAGTCAGGGTGGGGTGACCAGGGAGGGGGCATAGAGTCGCGATGGGGCGAGTGGGGGGCGGGACACGACCCTCCCCTCCTTGTCGGGCCCCGCCGTACTCTGAGCTGAGGCGCCCAAGGAGGGCGGGCAGTGAGTGGCTGGACCTGTGGCCGCGGGTTGCTAGGCGACCGGGAGCGCCGCTGCCTTAGCCGTAGGAGGCCGCGAGGTCCCGGAGGGGCCCGGCTCGACCATGTCCTCCCTGCGCAACGCGGACCCCGCGCTCAGGGCATACTTCAAGCGCCACAGGCTCCTCGATGTCTACGAGGTAAAGGGGCCGCGCTGCGCAGGTGCCGGCGCGGCTGGGCGCGGAGCAAGGGGTTCCAGCTGCAGGCTGAGTTGGGGAGGACGGAGCTGCCCCCACATTGCCTTCCGGCCCGGCCCCGCCGCGCCCCGCCCTGCCCTGCAAACAGGCGCTGGGGTTTGCAGCACTGTTGGCTAAATGTGACGACTCGAGGCCTAGGACCGCGTGGGGCCGGGCCCACGGCGGCGCTGGTGCCGAGACCCGCGTTCGGCTGAGCCTGTGTTAGCACCGATTGCGAGACAGGCTGGGCTTGCAGCAGCACCCAGAGACTGTCACAGCGTGTCACTGACACCATGGCGCAGGGGAGAGAAAACTTATCTGAAGTCTTGAATGTTGTAAGGATAGTCAAATGAATATATAATTTTAGCCTTAGCATTGTTACCTAGGGTGACCAGACAGCAAATGTTAAAAATCAGGACGGAGGTGGGGGGTAATAGGACCCTATATAAGAAAAAGACCCCCAAATCGGGACTGTCCCTATAAAATTGTGACATCTGGTCACCCTATTGTTACCTGATTCTCTCCTAGCCTTTTAATTTTGGTTAGTTTATTCCCTATGAAAATCATTTGAAACTATGTAGAAGCCATATTTCAATTTCCTTAATAGAAACAAAATAAAGACACCATGTATGATAAAAGTGAAAGACACTTTTTCTGGGTATTCATCTTCTGCAAACAGACCAAACTTGTAGCCAGGATTGCCATGGAAACTTTGGTCAAAACCTCTTTACTAATCAGAATAACTGTAGAGCAGCCACTCCCCTAGCCCGTTAACTTTGGTAGCTCCTAATCATCATCATCATCATTTTCCTATTACACCTTTGGCATTTAGGGCAGTGACGAAGCTCCTCCACTCCTGTCTGTTTTTGGCAAGTCTTTTCATGGTTCCCCAG